ATATAAAATGTTCACACATAGTTTCCTTTTTGTTTTGTTTTGTTTTTTGAGACAGAGTCTAGCTATGTAGTTAAGGTTGGCCTTGAACTCACTATGTTGCCCATGCTGGCCTCAAAATTGCAGTGATCCTCCTGCCTCAGACTCCTGAATGCTGAGGTTAAGATGCACCACCATGCCCAGCACACATAGTTTCATACTTACGAGTAAATGTTTTGGGCCAGGAGGAGTAGCCCGTGCCTGTAATCCCAGCACTTGGGAGGCTAAGGCAGGAGGATTGCCAGAAGTTGGAGTTCAGCCTGGCCTACACAGTGAGTTCACCGCCACCCTGAACTACATAGTTAGAACTTGTCTCAAAAAAACCAGCCAACCAACCAACCAAACAAAGTTAATGCTTTGGGAAAAGAGAATTTCCAAAAGTTTGCAGCAGGGTAAAAGGGTTAGGCTTCTTGAAAGATGGACCTAGCCTGGCAAGGTGGCACATGCCTATAATCCCAACACTCAGGAGGCTGAGGCAGGAGGATTGCTGTGAGTTCAAGGCCAGCCTGGCTACAAAGTGAGACTCTGCCTTTAAATAAATAAATAAATAGATCGAAAGCAGGGCCTATCTGCTTCCTTTACTTCTTCACAGTCATGGTTGCAAGCCCAGGTGACCCTAAGATGTCTCCTCCACACTGCTTGCTGAGGCTTGAACTAGTTCTGGGACTCACTGCACCTAGCCACAGAATCTTTGGGCCATGTTGCAACTCATACAAACTTTCACATCAGTCATCATGAGGGTTATCATATTCTTTTTCTCATTCTTTTGTTCACTGTACATTTGTCTTACCCCAAGCCCCCTGAGGACAAAAATATTCAAAAATTTTAAGTAGTTTCAGACATATAGAAAGGTAGCAGGAAAGGTCCAAAGAATACTTGGATATCCTTCTTCCAGGTTTCCCACAGTTACAATCTTACATTTGCCACTCATTTGACAGCTTTTCTTTAGTATATATGTTGTTATAGACTGTTGTTATAGATTGGTGTTCTCCCAAAAATTCAGTGTTGAAACCCTAACCTTACAGTGTGACTCTATTTAAAGTGAGGGCCTTAAAACAATAAAGTTAAAATGAAGCCATCAGGGTGGGCTCTAATACAATCTGATTTATAAGCAGAGAAGATTAAAATGTATAGACACACACAGACCCAGATACACACACACACACACACACACCCCCCGGGGGGGGGTGCACACAGGGGTGCAGGTGCCCAGACAAAAAGCCAAGCTCACACAGTGAGCAAACAGCCAACTTCAAGCCAAGAGGGGCTTGAGGTTGCTTCTCCTGAGGGGCCTCACGATAAAGCAACCCTGCCAACACCTTGCTATTGTAGTTCTGGCCTCTGGAACTGTTAGAAAATAGATTTCTGCTGTTTAAACTATTTAGTGTGTGATGTTTTGCTATTGTATGCCTAACAAATGACTACATATGTATCCCTCTCCTTTTTTGTGGATCATTTCAAAGTCAAGCACAGACATTATGTCTCTTTATCTCTAAAAGCAACTAGTGTAAATCCTCTTAATCCCACATAAGATTAGCTAAATAGTGAATTGGGAAATTAACATAAATACAATGTTAGCAGTTAATTACAGAGTTTATTCATATCTTGCCAATTGTATTATAATGCCATTTTATAGCAAAAGAGAAAAATGAAAAAGAAATTAAAAAGTACATAAATGGATGTGGGGTGGGGATCTAGAATCCACCCAAAATCACACATTGCATCCAGTTGTCATGCTAAACTCTTTTTTTTTTTTTTTTTTGGTACCAGGGATCAAACTCGGGACCTCGTGCTTGCAAGGCAGGCGGTGGAACCGCTGAGCTAAATCCCCAGCCCTAAACTCTTTTAATCTAGTTCATCATTCTTTGTCATTTATCTTCTTGACATTTTTAAAGAGTACAAGTGATTTACTCCATAGAATGTCTCTCAGTTTGAGACTGATATTTCCTCATGATTAGACTAAGATCTAGGATATTGTGAAATTTCAGGAATGTTTTTCCCCCTGGGCAATGTTATATATTAGCCCTGGACAATGTTATATATTATTATGTATTAGTGATTTCTCTTGTCAATGTGAAAACAAGAAATTTGCAACACTTTTTAGGAGACCCGTTGACTTAGAAATACTGCTTCATTAAATTTTCAGATTTGTTTAAAGCTATGAAGTTATGTGTCCTCTTCAATGCATCAATGTTTTTTTCCTTCTGGTAGCATTAACTTCTATCGCTTGTTTTTGTTATTAAGTACTTTGCTGGAGAGATACCTTGAGACTATGCAAAAGGGCTGTCAGATAAAATACAAGAAACCCAGGTGAATTTGAATTCCAGATAAATAATAAATACGTTTTAAAGTATAAGTATGACCTCCCAGAATTGTTTATCAAATATTCTAATTAAATTGGGCGTCTTGTGTTTTTATTTGCTGGACCAGGCAAACTTATATGTAAATCTTTTTTGTTTCTTGTCCAACTTTCACCCAATTATTTTCACATCCATTGATAATTCAAAAATTAATTTTTTACTATGATTTTGCCAAAGGTGATTGTCTAACTGGATCTACATTTCTTCGTTGGTATTCTATCTCCCTATCCGCATCTTAGGGCGCCTTTCCAATGCATGGCACACAGCAAGCGCTCAAATATTTGTTTAATGAATGAATGAACTCGGGCTACAGTCGTCCAGCTTTCCTGACACCAGCTACGTCAGACAGGGGCTTGACTACCTCAGCCAATCAGGGCCTGCAGCCGAGGCTTACTAGTCTTCCAGAGCCTCGCTGCTGGCTCTTGTTGCTCCAATCACCCGTAGCGCTCTATCGGATTTAGCTTACCTTTAATGAAGGCAACCGATTGGCTTTCTCAGCTCCGGCAGGCCCGACGGACAGCTAGATGAACCAATGAGTGCCGGCGGCAGGTGGGGCCTGCCACCCCCGCGGTGGTATAACTCCGTGGCCCGCGCGCGCGTTTGTCTTAGGGGCGCGGGCACCGGCACCGGCACCGGCACCGGCTATGACTATGGCTGCAACTTCTCTCCTGTCTGCTTTGGCCGCCCGGCTACTCAGGCCGACGCACAGCTGCCATCTTCGCCATCGCCTCTTCCATCTCGCCGCAGTTCGGTAAGTGGGTCTGGAGGCCGACCAGCGGGGAAAGCTCGGGTAACGGAAAGCGGGGGCCTCCCGGGCTGGCGAGGGTCGCCGAGGGACGACCTTCCTGAGCATCTCCTCGCCAGTGGTGGCCCCGAGAGGGGCGTGACGGGACGACGTGTCGCCGAGCGCAGTCGCAGCCGACCATGCGGAGCGAAGACTCGGCAGGGCTCTGGGGCGCGCTAGTTTGCGTGGGAACACACGAAGGTTAAGGGCCAGAGCCTGCAGGTCGCCCCGCCTGTGATGCCGAGTCTTGGGGAAAGCGGGGAGACCCTCTGGGGAGCTCCGGGAGCGAATTCGAGGGAGCAACCTTCGGCGAACCATCCTTTGCCGGGACCCTAGCGGCGGCCCGGGTTGGTGCAGTCTGATGAAATCTCCGCGCCGGCTTGCTCGCGGGTACCGCACTTCCCTCCTACTCCCGGGGTGGGTGTGGCTCGCGTTGCTCCTTCCCAGCCCAGAATGAACTTAAAGTGGTCCCTGGGTAATAGCCGGGCTGGGTGATTTGAGGTGATAAATATCCCGAGGTTGCCGGGGGACGAAGGGGAGGAGGAGAGTGAGGAGTATTGTTTCATAAATAGTTACGGTTTTATAAGATGAGTCCTGAAGATTGATAATGGTGATGGTTGCACAACGTTATGAAATGTATTTAATATCGTACTGTATACTTAAAAGTGGTCACGATGGTAGATTTCGAATGATGACTGTTTTACGACAATAAAAAATATTAGTGAAAAAAAATACCAGAGAGGAAGACCGGGAAAGCTCTTGTTTCCTTTTCTTTAGGCAAGTAATTTGAGTTTTTGTGATCTTTCTGGGACTCAAATTCTCATTCTTAAACCTAGGTTGAAGAGGCTTGGAGGACAGGGTGGGCTGAGATTTCTTCACCACGTGTGCACCCTCTTTCCGGTCAACCTTTAGAGTCTTTGCGATGCAAGGTCCAGCCCTGGGCTATTTAGCTATTTAGCGGTACCCTGGCTCAAAAACAAAAAGGGATTGGATATGTTGCTCAGTGCGAAGACCCCTGAGTTCAAGTCCCAGGAACACCCCCCCCCCCCGGACATTTCCAAGGCTTTGCTTGTTGGAGCACAGAATGCGGGTTACGGAATGTGTATTAGTGAGTTTTTGGACTACTTGAGTGGAACCATTCAAGTCTTGGTCTGACCCTGACCTGCCTTTCCAACCTCATCTTTCCTTACTGTATGTTCTTCCCTTACCCTTCCTGAGGTGTTGGCTACATGTGCCTGTGGACGAGGCCTTTTATAGGCTTTTCTGATTGAAAAGATATTTATGAAGAGCCTCTAATTCATTGCCTAAAGAACTAGGCCAGTTTGCTTACACGCAAATGCTCTTTCACCTGCCTTTCTGAACGTATAGGTAGGCTCCACATCTCTGAAGGCAAATCCACGTTATCTGTGCTGAACACTTGGTGTTTACAGTACCCATGCATTGCTGTTGCAGGGTTAGGGAACATAAGCCTCATAGTTACAGTAGCCTAGGAGACAGAGGAGTATAGGGTAAATGGACTTTGGAGGCAGACCCTAACATTCTTGTTTCTCTTATCTTCAGTTTCCTCTTCTGTATAATAGGGTTATTATAATAGCCCAAGGTAACAGAGTAATGTATGTAGAAGTCTTGGCAAAAGACCTACTGTTTAGTAGATGTTAGTTCCATTCCCCTTTGTATCTTTTTTCAGCCATTACTGGTCCCAGTAATTAGTACATAACAGAGCCCCTATCCAAAATAAGTTGATTGTGAGTTGTAAAATGCCCCTGATACTAGTTTTTAATGGAAAATCACTAAACCTTTGGGTTTAGAGGGAAGTAAAGATCTACTGACTTGGATTTTAGTTTCAAATTTTATCGGAACAGACCTCTTGATTTCTTTCTAGTCTGTTGATTTATTGTTTTAATGGAAAATTTTCTAAACACATCTGCAAAATCACTTAATTCCTAAGTAAGTCTTAGTAGAGTTTTAATTTTTGCATTTCCCATGGGACTGAGCTGAATTTCCCATTTCCCTTTTTATTTTAGGGTAGCATTGACTTTATTTGCCCTTTAGCAAAAGAGATGATAGAAAGTTAATGGGTTTCAACTTTGGTAAAGTTGTGGGAAGCAGAGGAGGGATAAAATGCAGTTATATTATGAAAAAAAATCTTCATTACTTTCTAACTTTGTTTTTAGTTTGTGGTACTCTTTGACTTTTTAGAAAGCAAATTGGCATAACATCCAGAACCTGCCTTTGGAAGCAAAGATTGAGACTTGGAACACTGGCTTCTCTCAGAACCCTGTGTCCTTAACTTTAGTATAAATTTTAGTCCAAGTGAGCTGCTACCATTTTCTCTAAGTTTAGTGCTTTCAAAAGGAACTTTTTAAAAATGAAGTGCAAGCTAAGTCCTTCTCACTGAATGTGTTTATTACTTATAGTTTGGGGTTGGTTTGTTTGTTTTTGGTACTGGGGATCGAACTCGATGCTTGGCGCTTTTGAGGCAGGCAGCAGAACCACTGAGCTAAATCCCTGGCCCTATTACTTACAGTTATATATAAGTATATCCATTATATAGTAAGAATATATGTATAAATAACAAAGAAGAGAATAAGAAATTAATTTCATTGAACATATTTATCTGGCACTTTACATTGTTACTTTATTCCATACAAATGACTATCCTAAGCCCTTTTGTAGTCTTTGACTCTGAAGTATTCTGGAGTTGGCAGTGTATTGCTGGCCAAGGGTGGCTTCTCCAGGTACTAATATAAATAAAGAGCAGGAATGTTGCCAGAGCCCTTTTAATGTAGTCCTCTTCAATGCTAGTTGTGAAATGAATTTGTAAATATTAACGTGTTTTCATTTCTGTAATGTACCATGGGTGTAAATTAAATGTTGTTATATATTTTGTGCCTTGGTAGTATCATGTATAAAATCTGGAGAAAAGTATTTAGTTCTAAAAATTAGAAGATCTTAATATCTCACAAGGTACATTCTAAATTAATATAAATTTTAGATATAAATTTTTGTATGATATTTAAGGCATTGAGATTTGTTTGTTTGGCACCAGAGATCGAACTTAAGGCATTGAGATTTGTTTAAAGTGGATATTTTGATCATAATGCAAATAAAAAGTAGGCGTTGAAGATTTAAAGGTTAGAACTTTGAAATTCCATTTGAAGTAGAGATGATCTTGAGAATGAATCCTATCTGATCATAGGAGATATCTAGTACTTGATGGGATCTCTGAGAATTAAACATGTACTATAAGGGGAAATGGACATTTCATTGGTTTTGAAGGTAGAGCAGTGCTCATATGACAGAAGCCTAAGGGGAAAAGTCTGTTTTTACCAGACCTTTTGTTCTAAGGGGAAATTTTTTTCTTTTCTTTTGGTAAGGACACTTTGCTACAAGGACATGTGTGGAAACAAGAACTAGAAAGCTTCACATTTTGTCTTCACAGAGCCCAGAAACTGCTTAATAACCAGTTCTCTTTGGAAAGAGACACCCTTACAAAGCCAGGAACAAGGTTGTGGGAACTGGAAGTTCCTAAATCCGGGGTTTTCTTGTTGCCCCACTCCCAACAGTTTTCTGATCCTTTGCCTTAATCATCTCCCATTGATGTGACTGCTATTCTCCCTTCTGTTTCTCCCTGTCTTTCCTCTGCTCCTCTCATCAACAGATCCTCTGCAGCTCTAGCTTGAAGGCCCCCCGCTAGCAGGATCTCTTACTGGTCCCTTTACCTACATTGCTCTGGTGGGCTAAGCTTTTACACCAGCTGGATCCCTGGGTAGCCTAGGAATTGTTGTCCTTGGTACCAGGTGTGGGCTGTTGGTCTGTGAGCTGTGTGGGGTCCTGGGAGGAGGAATCTCCCCTCTTACCAGGAAAGTCTTCCCCACAAGGGCTTTTGGCAGCAGTAGTCATTATTAGGTTTGACCTGCACAGTGTAGTGTTCATTGTTCTAACCACATGACATAATTTATATATAGTCCGATCAATAACCAACTGTAGATGGAAAATATTTGGGTGGAAATTGCATCTATACTAAACATGTCAGACTTTTTTCCTTGTCCTTTTTCCACAATGATACCACATAACAAGTATTTACATAGATTTGCATTGTTTTAGGTATTATAAGTAATCTGGAGATGACTTACAGAGGAGATGTGCAGAGGTTATATACACTACTTTCTACTCCATCTTACATGAGGGGCTTGAGCATCTATAGGTGAGGAGGGAATTCTGGAACCAATGCCCCATAGATACTGAGGGCAATGGGATTTAGAAGCACTATGAAAATACAAAGCCATTGGGATAACTGGGAAACAATTTGAAACATGACTGGATAAAACACGAACTACAAGTGGCACATAAGCTTTTAGGGAAAACTTTAAACCTCGAAGTGTTAAAGGGTCAAAGAAATGCGACTGCAACATGGAAAACTTTTGGCAATGATGAGAAGTCACGAATATGACACCCCCGGGCAAGGTGCGGTGGCCTGTAATCACAGCACTCTGGACCTGAAGCAGGAGGATCGAAAGTTCAAGCCCAGCTTGGACAAATTAGGGACTTAGAGAGACCCTGTCTCCAAAAAAATAATAAAAAAATAAAAAGGGCTGGGGATGTAGTTCAGTGCAAAGGCCCTGGATTTAATTCCTACTACTGAAAATAAATAAACAAATCTGCCCTTTACATTTCAGTTGTCCCTCAGATTAGGCACCATGTATTTTAATCTAAACTTTAAATTTTTGGTGTTTAATAAGAACTCTGTAGTTTGAGCTTTACTTTTTACAGAAATCCAAGCTATTTGGTTTTGTGACTCTGTTGCCTTCTGCAGAAATGAAGCTGTTGTCATTTCTGGAAGGAAACTGGCCCAGCAGATCAAGCAGGAGGTTCGGCAGGAGGTGGAAGAGTGGGTGGCTGAAGGCAACAAGCGGCCACACCTGAGCGTGGTTCTGGTTGGCGAGAATCCTGCAAGCCACTCATATGTCCTCAACAAAACCAGGGCAGCTGCAGATGTGGGTAAGTGTCGCTGTCAGCCCCCCATTGCTGTTCACTTGAGGTTAATCTGACACCAACTCCCTGTAATTTCTGATTTCTTTTTCTGATTAGAAAACCTAGGAGAGCAGGCTAATGTGACTGAACTGTATCCAAATCTTTGTCATGAAGAAATTAGACCCTATCTGCTGGGGAGGCTTATAGAGTAGGACAGGAGGAACCTGGATGGCATCCTTGGTATCTTCTGGAATATAAGCTAAATTCTGTTCTGAGCCTTAACATTTCACAGGTGACCTTGAACACATTTGCTTTCCTTGAGTAATAATGAGAGTCTCTGACATGGGTGTTTGCAGTTTAAAGCAGTAAAGGGCTGGGGGAAGATTGAGCAGTAGGATGTTAGGAGACCTCAGTGATGTGGTTGAACAGTCATAGCTTTGAAGGAAATGACTGACTTCTGGGAAGTTACTTTCGATTTCTTCACTGGTTCCAAAGCTAATCATACAGTTAGAAGCGGTTTGGCTGGGTGTGGGTGATGGGAGGTTTGTAGGTCTCGAGGTACCACAGAGTATTGTGTGACTGCATCCTAAAGCAGGTAGGCTCAGATGTGCCCCTGCCCACTCATGTGGGTCAGTGGTCTGAGCACCAGTGCCCCTTCCTTCTGGTGTGGCTGCTCAGAGTTACTGACCCCTGAGCCCTGGGTTTACTCTATTGATCACTGAGGACTGGAGCCTCCTGCACTTATAGCTGAAAACCTCTGGAAAATAGCAAATCATGACTTAAGAAAAGACATAAGAGTTAGCATGGTGCAATGGAAAGAACCTGGACTTTGGAACAAGAAAGATGGTGGCACTGGCTGGTTTTTTAATCCGTCTTGGCTTTAGTTTGTTTGTAAAACAAAGTTAATAAGGATTGTGTAGAATAATGTATGGAAAGTGTTGAGCTAGCCTCCTATAGTGTATTTTATTTGTGAAGTTAGTTTTTTAGAATCCTTGTAGCCAGGTCAGTTTTTCAGCTACCAGAGTGGGGGCAATGATAAAAACCTCTGTGGTTGCAGAACATGGCAGGCTATGCAGCAGTGCTCTTTCAGTACCTCAGTATTTTTTTTTTGTAACAGGAATCAACAGCGAGACGATTGTGAAACCAGCTTCAATTTCAGAAGAAGAGCTGTTGAATTTGATCAATAAACTCAATAATGATGAAAACGTAGATGGCCTCCTTGTTCAGCTGCCTCTCCCAGGTAGGTCTTGGTCTTCACCAGATACACTGATTCCTGAGCAGTGAAGGGACCTGGCTACTTTCTACATCTAACCCTTCACCAGGATTTGCTGAAAGGCAAGGGAACCTCAAAAGCCTGAATATTTTATTAGAAATGGGACAGACCTACTCAAAATACTGATTGACCCCTGCTTTTATATTAAGATCTGGGTACGTGGGCCGGGGATTTAGCTCAGTGGTTTCCCTGCCTGCTGTGCAAGTGCAAGGACCCAAGTTCGATCCCCTGTACCAAAAGAAAAGATCTGGGTACGAAGGACAGTGGAGAGCAGCAGTGGAAGAAAACAACACCGTCTTTGATATTGGGATTGGGTTTTGCTTCCATGCAGATGGGGAGTGAATTTGCATAACAAACCACATGAGCTGAAGTCCTGCACCTCTAACTGTAGAAGGATGTTTAAGGCCACTGCTCTAATTTCTTTTTCAGAGCATATTGATGAGAGAAGGATCTGCAATGCTGTTTCTCCAGACAAGGACGTTGATGGCTTTCATGTAATTAATGTGGGGCGAATGTGTTTGGACCAGTATTCCATGTTGCCAGCTACCCCGTGGGGTGTATGGGAAATAATTAAGCGAACAGGTAGGTGTATCCCAGAACTATGTTTGTTATTACAAAAGTAGCATGGGGCTGAGGATTTAGCTGTGGCACCATGCCTGCCTCACAAGCACAAGGTCCTAAATTCGATCCCCGGTACCAAAAAAAAAAAGCAGCACAAGCTGAGCATCTCTGAGGAACTTTTTGAACCTTCATTGATTTTTGGATTAGGGATGCTTAACTGGTGAAGTCTATTATCCCGAAATCTGAAGATGTCTGAAATCTGAAACATTTCTGGTCCCAGGTGTTTCAGGTAAGGGATAGTCAATCTATTCACAAGTGGTAAAAACTGCTACAGTACTGAAGAGTGGAACCCCAATCCACTGGGTCATCTGACTTCTTTTAGTTTAATTATAAGACTGGCACTGCTCTTTTTTTAATGCGTGTGTGTGTGTATGTGTGTGTGTGTAGGTACATATATATTTTGTTTGTTTTTTCCATAGGCATTCCCACCCTAGGAAAGAATGTAGTTGTGGCTGGAAGATCAAAAAATGTTGGAATGCCCATTGCAATGTTACTGCACACAGATGGGGCACATGAACGTCCTGGGGGTAAGGAAACTGCTTTCAGAGCAGTGTCTTCTCCCTGTGTGGAGGAAGTGTAACAGTGAATTTGTTATACTTTATATTGGTTGTGATTCTGGTTAAGTTACTCAGAGAGTAACCTTTGTACAGAAGCTGTACTCTTTGTCACCAAAGAGTAAGTATTTACCGTTCATTTGTTATAGAACTAGTCTCAGAAATAAATTTGAGTTTTGAGTAAAGCATGGATTGAGGCACTTAGAAATTTTCAGTATGGCTTTATAATAGTACATAAGAAGCAGTTCTTATTTGAAGTGAATATCCTGTTCTGTGTCATTTGGTGGAAAAAAAATTTAGACCATTGCAAAGGGTTGGCTTGATGACCACAGTGTGTCATGTCAAGTTCTATTACTGTAATTTGCCTAAGAAAAAGTCTTATAAGGGCCGAGGATTTAGCTCAGTGGTTTCGCCTCCTGCTGCCCAAGTGAAAGGACCCGAGTTCGATCCCCGGTACCAAAAAAAAAAAAAAGCTTCTGCACTGCAAAAGAAAACGTCTTATAAATCACTTATCATATATAATTTTTAAAATTTTAATTTTTATCAGTGCATGCTTATATATAATGATTACATTCATCATAGAGTTGGTACCTGGACATAACATAATTATTTTAATAATGACCTTATATGATTATATCAGGATAGCAAAAGTTTTCAGATATTTCATGGCATATTTGAAAAATGAGTAATTCTAGTGATATTTTGCTTTAAAAAGGTAAAATTCTTTTTTTTTTTGGTACTGGGGATCCAACTCGGGTCCTTTCACTTGAGCTTGTGAGACAAGCGTGGCACCACTGAGCTAAGTCCCCAGCCCAAAAAAGGTAAAATTCTTGACAGGCTATGAAATAGGGAAAGGAATATGATAAGAAATAAATTTAATTATATATAACTTCAAAGGATGTGAGTAGAACCAATGTGTAAAAGCTATGTTGAATATTAACTTAAAAAATAAATGACATCTGTCTAAAAAATATGGCATGAGCATTAAGTCAATTATTTTTCAGAGACATTGAGTTTCTATAATGACTAAACTGGTTGAGAACTAATTCAATCCCAGCCTTGATTCGAAACCAAAACATCTGTTTCTTTTTTCATAGGTGATGCCACTGTTACAATATCTCATCGCTACACTCCTAAAGAACAGCTGAAGAAACACACTATTCTTGCGGATATTGTAGTATCTGCTGCAGGTAAGAACTCAAAGGAGAGGGTGGAAAGACTTCTCTTCAGAAAAGTGAGGCTGTATCTAGTGTCATTCCATTCATTTTTCCCCTAGTAATGATACTTTGTCTATCAAGAGGATGAAGTTGTGGTGGGAATACTGGTTCTGGTAATCCATTATGGACTACATAGATGCAGGTTATTCCTAACACCTCATAATACTTTCATTTGCTATATGAAATTTAAATGGTTCCTTGGTTAATATCTTTCATAGTTTTTTTGTTTTTTTGCAGTAGTAGGTATGAAACCCAGGGCCTTTGTACTGAGCTACATCCCCAGCCCTTGTTTAATCTTTTAAATTAGGGTCTCTAAGATACTAAGTTGCCTAGGCTGGGCTTGAACTTGAGATCCTCCTGCCTCAGCCTCCCAGAGTGCTGGGATTATAGACATGTGCCACCACTCTCACCTATAGGTTTTTATAAAACATGATAATTAGTTTTTTCAGGTCTCTGGAAATTAAAAGACAAGAATCTAACTAGTGAATGTTTTGTTTTGTATTTTTGAGGTAGGGGCTTGCTATGTAGTTCAGATTGGCCTTGAACTCAGTAGCCCAGACTGGCCTCCAACTCACAGTGATCCT